ATACATACATGCATACATACATACGTACGTCCATGCATGCATGTATACATGCATGCATGTATCCAAACATGCATCCATGCATGCATGAATGCATGCTTACACACATACTTAAACGCACGCTCAGTTATCTAGACATAGATTCATACATGCATGCATGCAGACGTACTTACGTACACACATAAATAACATAACACACCGTACCATATCTTCACAACCCATACCAGACCATACCACGCCACATCACACATGCATAATCATATACATATATTCACGCATACTTATTCATATATGAATGTAATGCACTGTGTAGCATAATCATAGTCCAGTATACCGTTTCCCGAGCGGCATGGTAAGACAGCGCCCGCCACGGAAGGTACATCATAAGATGTCTCGGTGCGCGCGTCGCCCCTTGGCGGATCGACGCACACACAGTACAAACATTTTGGGGTGACGCCGAAAGCTAAGTACTGAACCTTCTGGTCCGTGATCGTCTGGGGAAAATCATGACCGAAATGTTCCAGGCTGGCTGTGTGACGGAATACCTCGTGCCGAGGAAGACGAAGCGATGATGTGAAGATGATCCAACTGCCGTCCCTGGCGCACTGGGACCCCACAAAAGACCAACGATGACAGCGAAGACATTGAGCGACGTCGACTACGACGACAAACGGAGACGAGCAACGATGACGACGACTGCGTTGACGGCAATGACGACGTCGACAACGAGAGACGAGCGACGGCATGCGACGAATGAACGACGAGCAACGAGCCACGAACAACGAAAGACGACGGCGACGAAGAGGATTAACGACGATGATCATGAACGGCGGTGAGGATGAACGACGGCAACGGGAGCCTTCATGTCTGATCTCCCTGGTTTCCCGCCGAGCCTCCCCCAGCTGCCGCGGTCGGACCCGCTGCCGTTTCGCTTCCGCAGGCCCAGCAACCCAGAACAAACAGAACACTCACGCTCCAGGCCGCGGGCACGACCATGCTCCACAGCTTGTGAGCCCGCCCCCATGTCACGAACGCTCGCGTGGTCCCACGCGAACTCGCGCGATCCTGCTCATTCCTCCCGACTATTCCCTTCTCCTCCTGCTCACTCCAGACCTTCTCAGCTCCTCAGGCCTCGTCAGTCCTCCTACTCCACCTCCTCCTCCTCCTCCTCCTCCTCCTCCTCCTCCTCCAACTGCTGCCGTTGGAATTGGCCTCGGGCGGCCACCCCTCCTCCACCTCCTCTCCTCCTCCCTCCCTCCTCCCTCCCTCCCTCCCTCCCCCCCTCCCCCCCCTCCTCCCCTCCCTCCTCCTCCTCCTCCTCCTCCTCCACCACCTCCTCCTCCTCCTCCTCCCCCTCCTCCTCCTCCTCCACCTCCTCCTCCTCCTCCACCTCCTCCTCCTCCTCCTCCTCCTCCTCCTCCTCCTCCTCCTCCTCCTCCTCCTCCTCCTCCTCCTCCCCCTCCCCCTCCCTCTCCTCGGCCCTCGAGGTCTGAGGATCGAGGCGCTTCCGTTCCGAGCAGTGCCTGCACTTTCGAGGCTCTCGCTCTCGCCCCGTGGGCGGCCGTGGGTGCACCTTGCGCTGGCTCGGTGTGGCGAGGTGCCGCCTGCTGGGCGACCGTGGGCGCGCCGCGAGGGCGTCGCCCTGCGCTGGCCGGGTGTGGCGAGGCTCCGCCCCGTGGGCGGCCGTGGGCGCGCCTCGCGGGGCCGAGGCGGCCAGGGCGGGCCGGCCGTGCGGCGAGGCTCCGCCACATGGCTCACACCACGCAGCATGCTCCGCACAGCTGGCACCACAGAGCCTGCACCCCGGCGTGGTGCAGGCTCTGTGGTGCACCGCACACGGTGCGCCACCACACACGGTGCACCACCGCCGCGTGACGCGGCTCGCACCGCACACGGTGCACCACCACACGGCTTGCACCACAAATCTTGCACAAGCACGCATACGTGTATACACACGTATAGAATGCATATGCATTCACATCATAGACGTATCGATACCTATATATGACTCAGCAGGGCTCTGGCCACCCCCCTCCAATGCTAATGGGATCGACCCCTCCCCCCACACACACACCCCGCGCGATGGGCCCCCCCCCCCCCTGTGGTCGTGGCCCCGTGGGCGTGTCGTGGTCGTGGTCGTGGTCGTGGTCGTGGTGGTCGTCGTCGTCGTCGTGGTCGTCGTCTCCCAGCCCATCCCATCCAGGGGGGAGGGGTGGGGGGCCTGTGAATCCTGGGAGCCATCCCATCTGGGGGGGGCCTGTGAACCCTCGACCCTGGATCATAGATTGCACCACGTAGCTTGCACCGTACACCACATTCGCGACCGTACCTGCGGGGGCACGTATTACAATGTCCTCAGGTGCCTTTAAAAGGCCCAAACCTTAAATTCTAAAATATCTCGGGGCGTGACGCATGGTTCCCGGGCCTTGCCACGTCTTGTCGCGCGACGCGTTTGGTCCCAAGAGAAGTTGAAAACGGTCCAAGATAGCCCCGAGTCGCCGACACATCGCTCGACGACACTCTGGATGGCCTCGAGACGGCCCATGATGCCTCCAAGCCGAATGCCCCCAAAGCCATTAGGATCCGCCGCCCCCTGTCGATTCATCGCAGGGGTGCCTGGCGTGCTAGACGATTTCGGTTTTGGTTGTGGCACTTTTTCCAAAAGAACTCCCCCTGGGGCTTCGGCCCGTCCCGCCAGCCACCCGGAAAGGAGCACAATTAGCCAATGTTTCGCTCAAGATGGCCCAAGATGGCCTCCAAGATGGCCACGTTGGCCCAAGATGGCCTCCAAAATGGCATTGGTTGTCCTTGAGTTTTGTCAGGTTTTTCGTATTTGCTCTGTTCGGCTTTCCGACGACCCAAGACGGCCCAAGAGGCCTCCACGATCGCCCCCACAGAGCCCAAGATGGCCTCCAAGATGGCCTCAGGACTGCCCAAGAGGCCCCCAAGACGGCCCCAAGAGGGCACACAGACGACCCACGAGGCCTCCAAGATGCCAAAGATGGCCTCTAAGACGGCCCTGGAGCACCCCAAGAGGGCCCCAAGTCGGCCCAGAGAGGCCCCCCAAACGGCTTCCGACGACGTCAGACGGGCCAGGAGCCCACCAAGATGGCCGAAGTTGGCTCGAAGCTGGCCCACGACGGCCCAAGAGGCTTCCGAGGGCCTCCAGGAAGGCCAGAAAATGCTAAAAACAATTGTTTCCCTTAGGTTTTTGAAGGACTGTGTTATTAGCTTCTTTTCGGCCTTCCGACGGCCCGAGACGGCCCAAGAGCCCCCAAAGATCACCCAAAGATCGCCCACGAGGCCTCCAAGATGGCCCCAGAACGGCTCAAGAGACCCCCAAGACGGCCCAGGAGGCTTTTAAGACGCCCAAGATGGCCTCCAAGACGGCCCTGGAGCATTCCAAGAGGGCCCCAAGTCGGCCCAAAGAGGCCCCCCAAACGGCTTCCGACGGCGTCGGAAGGACCAGGAGCCCACCAAAACGGCCGAAGATGGCCATAAGATGGCCCAAGAGACGGCCCAAGAGACCTCCAAGAAGGCCTCCAGGAAGACCCGGAAAGGCCAAAATCATTGATTTCCCATTAGTTGTTGAAGGATTGTGGAGTTTGCTTTTTGTTCCGCCTTCCGACGGCCCGAGACGGCCCAAGTGCCCCCAAAGATCACCCAAGAGGCCCAAGACGGCCCCAAGAGGCCCCCAAGACGGCCCAAGAGGCCTCCAAGACGCTCAAGATGGCCTCCAAGACGGCCCAAGTGCCCTCCAAGTTCCAAACCGATTCGGGGAACACATGGTCCGATAGCTTGGCAGGTCTGGCCTCAACGTTCGGCCACATAGGCGCTTCCAAAAAGGCAGGGGGCGCCGGTGATTCGCCGTAGGCGTCTTCGACAGCTTACACCACATGGCTTACGCCACATGGCCTGCACTAGATAGCTTGCACCACATAGATAGCACCACATAGCTCACAGCGCACAGCTTACATCACGTGGCTCACACCGCATAGAGTGCACTACATGGATTGCACCACATAGCTTACGCATCCACATTGCAGCAACTCGCTGTTTGGAAAACACGTTGGCAAACATTTTTGCCTGTTGTCCTGGCCTCAGTGGGCCTCCGGGTACCTGCAGGGAGGCGGCGTGGGCTTGGAGTCTTGAAGAACTTACCAGGTATGTGTGCTCTTCTAAGTTCGATAGCCCTGTGGTCTCCACTGGGGTAACCACTGCAACTGGGCAAGAGAAGGACCACGAGGGAGACGAGGGGAAGGGAGGTGGAACAGCACGTAGGAGGACGAGGGAGAAAAAGGAGGATGAGGACGAGGAGCAGCGGCATCACCTCGATGAGAAGCAACACTAAGCGCTGCACGGCAGCCTGCCTTGAAGACGTGGGCCCCGGGCCCTGGTCTCTGATACTGAACGCACCCTTCAATCCTGGACGACCTACGCTCTCGGAGGTCCCCAGGGGCTGGCGACGCAATCTTTCCTAGCTCCGCGCCGTGGATGAAGGTAAAGAACTTTTGCTTAGCGTGTCGCGGCGGAGGCCCCGGCGACATGCTCTGCCCCGCGAGCGAATATGAGGCTCGGAAAATCTCAGGACGCTGACGCTGGGAGACTCGGAAATGGATAGCGTGCTGCGCCGATGCGTGGTGGGCCAAAACCGACGGAGCGACACTCTAAGCCAAAGTTCGTGAACGCATCTCCTGTAGGTCCAGGGGACAAACACGGATCCCATGCATGGCGCTCAACCTGGAACATCGTCTACACGCAACAGTGGCCCTCGGCAAGAGTGACCCCTAGTGCTCGGATTAGCGGGGGCGCGAGGTGACAAAATCTAAGCGCGCAAGCAACCATTATCGCATCGCGCTCAAAGATCGGAGGAACCCCTGCGAGCCCGCACTTCAGGTCACTCGGGCGAAGGGTCACTCCTACGTGCAGTCGAGAACACGCCAGCGCCAGCATCGCCGCCGTGGAGGCTGCAAGAACCTGCTGTGCTTTGAACGCCAGGTGTCCTGGCCGGCGCTCCCGGTCGTCCCGAGGATCAGCTCGCTGCGCCACTCCTCGTCGCTCTGGTCGCTGACGCCTGCAACGGAATCCTTCGGCACCCCAGGGCAGGAACATGGGACGGCTGGCGTGGAGCGCAGAGGTGGAAGCAAGGTTGAGATGAGGCCAAGATCGAGGAGCAAAAGACGGCATAGGCATCACTTCCAAGAGGTCCGAGGCGGACTTTTCCTCCCTCCCTGGACCCCCCTCCCTGGTGAGCCGAGCGTGCCAGAGGCGCCGAGGGGCCCAACGCCGACCCAAGAAAGCCGCGCGGACCTCCGAGAAATAGGATCCATGGCTGAAGAGAGAAGTCAGCGTCGGGCGACCGCGGGCAGCTTCAGCGCCGGCGCCGGGACACCCCCGCTGCCGCACGACGTGCGCGCTGCGCGCTGCGGCAAGGTGTGGGGACGGGCCCGTGCGCACAGCGGAGGAGCCGATCTGCACGGGGCGTCCGGTCCGCCCCGCGGAGAGGCCGTCCGCGGGCGTCCAGACCTGAACGACGAGGAGGCCTGGCGAGAAGACATGGCCTCCCCACGCCGCGGCGCACGCGAAGCGCCAGCGGGGCACGCCGCATTTGAGAAGCGAGGGCGCCCACGCGCGCGACCTCGCGCGGGCAGCTTGCGCGCAGACATGTCCGTGCGAGCGGCCCCGTTTTTTGTTCTGCGTCGCTCACGGGTTCTTCCGCTCTCCCTTTCCCAGGAGGACCAGCGTACAGTCAGCGTGCCACCACACAGGACGCCGAATCAGTTTGGTCGACCAAAAATTGGGGTCCAGCTGAAAGGGAGTGGTGCAATAGAATTGGGGTACTTGTATTGCAAACGTAATGCCCCAACTAAACATTGTATTGTATTGTATTGCGACGAACGTATTGCGCTCGAATAACCCAGCAATACATTTGCGCACTGGAACGTATTGCACGCCAAAAATCTATTGCAACCCCACAGATCTATTGCACCAAATCTATTGCACCACCCCCTTGTCGCTGGACCCCCTTTCGGGTCAACCCGAAGAAGGAACGGAGGCCTTTTGTGGCCACGGCGAGCCTCGGTCGCACGAACAGATCCCCCAACCCGGACCTAAGGCACGGCCCGAAAAAGCCGGAGCCCCTGCCGAGCCCAAAGTGGTCCTTGTTTCGGCGCCTCGACAGTGAGAGCGGGGCGTCGTCTGAGGAGAGTGATCGGAACGAGCAAGATGCGAGACGAGGAGCATCTGAGCATGGAGCAACGATTCAGAACTTGTGCCTCCGTCTCCCTCCCCCCTCTGCCACCCTCCGCAAGTCGCCTACACGCCTGTCGCCTCCGTCTCGAACGGCGACGACATCGTCTGGACGCCCTCGGAGGTCTTTCTGACGCCCCCGCAAGCTGCCGGCAGTCTCCCCAGAGGCCACCGAAGGTCCAGAACAGCACCACAACACCACCGCCATTGGCGCCCGGCGGACCAGCATCAGCCTGCGAGCGACACAGCATGACTGTGACAACAGCAGCGAGCCTGCGAGCACAACATGCCTGCGAGCACCGCAGTGATTGTTTACCTCGCCACAGGCTTGTGCTACCAATGTGCTAAGGCCGGGGGAGATAAGCGGAGTGACCATTTGGCCTACGCGAACGTGAGCTCCAGCCAAACAATGAAATCCCTTAGTTCGGTCGGAAGGCAATGATGCAAGACCCTTGAGAAGTCCACGTGAGAACGAATACTGCGAATACTACGGCATCAAGACAAATAACTCCGAGGTCCTGAGTTGCAGCCGCTGGAGGATTCTGGAAACCTCCGCGAAACTCTGAGGACCACTGGAGGCATCCAGGAATCGTCCTCGTCGTCGTCGTGTCCGTCCTTCCTTCTCCTCCTCCACCTCCTCCTCCTCCTTCATCACCTCCTCCCCCTCCTCGTCCTTCTCCTCCTCTTCCTCAGCCCCTCCTCCTCCTCCTCCGCCTCGTTCTCCTCCTCCACCGCCTCGTTCTCCTCGTTCTCCTCCTCCTCCTCCTCCTCCCCCTCCCCCTCCTCATCCTCCTCCTCCACCTCCTCCTCCCCCTCCCCCTCCTCCTCCTCCTTCTCCTCCTCCTCCTCCTTCTCTAGCCTCCTCCTCCTCCCCTAACATCGTCTTTGTCCCCGTGCATCTGTTCTCGTGCTCCTCCTGCTGCCGGAGCGCCCGGAGAAGACGGCATCCGCCATCCACCCGCCGCCGCCGCGGGGGGCGGCCAGGCCACGGACGACTGCGAGCAACTACCCGCCCTCGTCTCGGTCCAGCTACAGTTACATCGGGCGCATCCCCCATACAGGAGGCGTCTGGACGAAACATTAAAAAAAAGTCAGAAATATCCAACACATACTCGACAATAGTCAAGAAATCGTCCCCAGACTACTGTTGTTGACTATTTTTGGGTATTCCTCCTGTAGAGGGACAGGCCCGACTTAGAGCTACAGTGGAGGCCAGTCACACGAAACCTTCCACAAGAAACCCAACCCTGAGACCCCGGGACGTCCATGGATGTCTGGTGTGGGACCGTCACGCTCTCCTTCGCAAAGCCATCGAAACCCCAGAAACCCAGGGCACCATGGAGGCAAGCCAGGGTGTTTCTTGGCATGGGCCTCCACTGTAGCCCGAGAGCATCACGACGGAGGGAAGGCCGCGCCATGCCGCGAGCGCCACAGCATGCCTGCGAGCCCCAAAGCACCGTGCCCACAGGCCCCCCGCGCGCCACGAGGGCCAACAAAGCAACGGAGGGCACCGCCGCCACAATCTTATCTTGAGCCTCGCCATCGCTCGGACGTCCTTCCCCATGCATGTTTCGAATTTCGTGCGTACTTGTTGTGCCAGATGATTCATGATGCTCCTCGATGGCCCTTGCCGAACAAAAAAACGCACACGTCCGAGCGACGCCATGGAGCGCCACAATCCGGCGCCACACTAGCACCACGGCGGCGCGCGAGCACCACATCACGCAAAGCCCGCGGCCACCGCAACAGCCTGCGAACGCCACCACATGCCTATGAGCGTGAGAAAGGGGGGCGTCCCCCCCGCGTGATCGTGACCATTACTGGGAAGGGGGGGAAGAAGGCAGGGCCTGGGGCGGGTAGTGGGCGTTAACCGCATGCCGATGATAATAAAGGGACCCCCCCCCTTCAGTGTTTAGAGTTGATTATCGTCGCCCTATACAAAATTCAAATTGGGCGGCGAGCGCTGAGGCCGAACTTCATTATCACCTCGAAACGCGATGTTGAGATAGCAACATCAAGCGATGTTGCTCTAGCAACATCAAGCGAAGCGATCACACTTTTTCAGGATGTGTCAGCGAAACCAAAAATTTTGGGAGGCAGACTCAAACGAAACGAGCAATGTTCCAAGGATGTCTCAAGGATGTTTCAAGCTAAATCAGCAAGTTTTTTATTTTTATTTGTAATTTTATTATCTTCCTTTTTATATATGTATGTATCCCCGCGCGCGCCTGAACTTTTTTTATCTCTGGGGTTGATTATCCATGGAAAGGGGAGCACATGAGCTACCCTACATGAGCACTTAAAACAATCAATTTTCATAAAGCGTTTGTAAATTAAAGTTGATAGATTTGGAACTTTCCATTTTTCCGTTATGTTTCCCTTCTTCTTCTTCTCTTCTTCTTCTCTTCTTATTATTATTATACTTTCCTCTTCTTCTTTTAGATTTCTATATGTCCTCACGCTCGCCTGAACTTTTTTATCCCTGGGGCGGATTATCCATGGAAAATGAAGCACATGAGCTACCCTACACGAGCACTTAAAACAATCAATTTTCATAACGCGTTTGTAAATTAAAACTGATAGATTTGGAACTTTGGATGTTTCCTTTCTTCGTCCTCTTCTTATTCTCCTCTTATTCTCCTCTCTTATTATTCTTCTACTGTATTCTTCTTCTTTTGTATTTCTCTCAGTCCCCACGCTCGCCTGAACTTTTTTATCTCTGGGGTTGATTATCCATGGAAATTGAGGCACATGAGCTACCCTACACGAGCACTTACAAAAAAACAATTTTCATAAAGCGCTTGTAAATAAAATCTAATCGATTTGAAACTCGAGGTTGTTCTTCTCTTCGTCCTTCTCCTCCTCCTATCATTTCTTTTATTTTATTATGTATTCTTTTTATTTTTCTTTTTTATATATAGCTTCCTCCATTCCTCCGCCCGCCTGAACTTTATTATCGCCGCCGTTGATTATCTAGGGACGCCGAGGCGGATGAGCTATTCCGAGGATGTCTCAAGCGAAATAAGCAATAGTTTGACTGTGTCTCAAGCGAAATAAGCAATAGTTTGCGGATGTCTCAAGCGAAACAAGGGATTTTTCGAGGATGTCTCCAGCGAGATAAGCCATTGTTGAGGATATTTCTATGAAAACTAAACGCCAAGGATGTCTCAAAACGTGCTCGGCTTGGTCTCCTCTTGATCATCTCTTACTTCGAGATTATGCTGAGGTCTGCTGGGCTACTTTTATTATCTCTCCCTGAACCCCGAACTTTATTATCCCCTAGTGTTTATTCTCACGGGCATGAGGTTACCCCTCCAAGGAAGGAAACAAATACCCGAGACGTACCAAACCCCTGCTCCACGCGACTATGTTTACATGAGACCCCTGCGCAGCAGAACCCACTGCGAGATATGCACGAGCTGCGTGGGCATGCACTTCGCCGTGAGGGCCTCAGAAGGATCCGCGTGGCCCTGCACTCCGCCGGGCCTCCCGGGAGCCCACGAACGTGGCGACGGCTGTGCAGCTCGCAGCCCCCGACGGAGCCGCGAGGCCTCAAAGAGATCCGCGTGGGCCTGCACTCCGCCGTGCCTCCCAGGAGCCCACGAAAGTCGCGACGGTTGCACAGTTCGCAGCCCGCCCAGTAGGAAAGGTACGAGCAAAGGAGGCAGGGAGGCAAGAGGCAGGAGATGAGAGGGAAGGAGGAGGAAGATGACGGGGAGGAGGGAAGAGGCGGGATGATAGACGCAAAAGCAGCACCCTACTCCAAGCGAGAAACCAACCAAAGGAGGGTTGGGAAGAAACTCCAGTGAGAACAGCAGTCCCCGCGAGACGAAGAGCAACCCCGCTTCTAAGAACGAGCACGACAACTTGAAGCATTAGCAATTGGAACAGCACGAATGATAAAAAACAACCTTCCGAAAACGACACCACCTGGCAAGTCGGAACGAACCGTCGAATCGAGACGAAGGGGAAGTGGAGGAAGGGGGAGGGAGGAGGAAAACCAGCCAGCCAAGCAATGGGGGGTGTAGGAAAGAGGGGAGAGCCAACAAAAACCGCGATGGATGGGCAGAAGGACGGCTGGCATCACAGCTCGCCAGGGCGTCCTTCCGCTTGTCCTGCGGGGGCCGTCGCAGGGACGACCGCCTGGACACCTGCGAGCAATGGAGGGGCAAGGAGGAGGAGGAGAAGTAGAACACAAGAGAAGATGAGTGAGCACGGCTCTCCACGATTGCATCCGCCGTGCCTTCCTCCTTCAACGTCGAACTCGCACCCTCCCGCTCGTCCCGCTCCTCCTTCCCTACACCTACACCCTCGTCAGGGGCTGAAGAAGTAGAATCTCACGACGAAGTCACGCGAGGCAGAATGGTAATGCGGATGGCACGAGGCGCCGGGGACAGCGAAGGGGGCATGTTGCAGTTGCAGCAAGAGGGGCAGTGTGGAGGGAAGTGCTCAAGTACCTTCATCCCACGTCATACACGATCCGGGTAGGAAATCACACATGCAAAATGTCCAGACGCTTTGCAAACTGTGAAACCGGTCCCGCCGAGGGCCCCGGCCTGGTCCCAACATGACCCGACAGCCACCCAAAACGGCCCGCTGATCCGCAAAGACCAGCCCAGGATTGCCAAAGAGGAGCCGAAGAGGAGCCAAAGGCAGCGCCTTGACGCCCAAAAGGGGCCCCAAGTCCCCCTTCCAGGCAGTTTGTGTCGAATGGAAGGGGACGTAAGTGTAGCTGGGGCTCATTGATTCGGGCAAATCGCTGATCTGTAACCGCGGCACGCGCTCCTGCTCCTAACCCAGCGGCTGCCCCCATTCCATACTGTTCGCGTGCTCTATCCCTGCGTGCTCCTTCTAAAGACGCTCGCCCCTGCTGCTCATCCACCGCCTCCTCCTCCACCTCCTGCATCGCTGGTCTCGGCCGACCTCTCTTTTTCTTCGCAATGAGGCGTAAGAGCACGCGAGGGAGGATCATGGGCAGAGGCGCCACACTGGAAGCCACCAGCCAACAAAGCCGGTGCTCAGAGTGCGCGAAAACTTGGCGAAAGTATGTGGCGTGTGGATGGGGGCAGCGTCGGACTGGACAAAGATCGGAGCATACTCTGAACAGAAAACAAACCCCAACATGTCGTCCGTCTAAATCCTCCGCGCAAGCTCCGCTGCGTACATGCTTCCGAGATCCACAATGAAGCGCCATAATTTCACCGTCCATCGTCCCTGGGTCTCCTCGAAGGAACGAATACCGTGCTTTTCCAAAAGGCAACGGCGTGCATCCTCCGCATGGTGCACCTCGTCGGCACAGGCCCAGACAAGATAACGCATCAACTCGCTGCTCTCGGGTTCTGGGGTAGGATGCTGTTTCTTCACGTACGCGATCTGCTCCCCATAATGCTTCTCCACGAACGTTTCAACCGCATCGACCGTGTGATACAACCACGGGCCCCGACCGAGTAGTGTCGGAACGAACCCCAACAACCAGCCCGCCATTCTCCACATCGGAAGGAGACGCGTGTGCTTGGCTGACAAAGAGCGATTGTTCGAACCTTCATCCTTGAAAACGGCTGCTAGAACGTCCAGGTGCTTCTGTTCGGCAATAATGTGACGTTCAGCGAATTCCCGAACAGCTATGTCCATTGCGCGGATGTTGCACGCGGCCAGGGCGCCATGATAGATCCAGACCGCCCCTGTTTCGCCAGCGACATTAGAGGACATTTCGCGACACATCCAACTCCATTTCACAGACTCCAAATATCGTTGTGATATCTCCGCGCTGTCCACTATACCCCGACCTGGAAAATCGTTAGTCCACAACAGAGCCAGATCTTCACGAATCTTTGCGGGATTGAAGCCATGCACCGTCGAGACTTGGTCGTTGGAGAAGTGCCTCTTGTCGGCAACGAGAACCAGGCGGGCTCTCGGACGAGGCCAAACATGTGACGATGCAGACGCTGCCGACACAACCGAAGATGAATGACGTAACGTGCATTTGAGACGGAACTGGAACCTGAGAGGCATTGTGAGTCACTGCGGGATGCCTCGCCACGCTACGCTCATACAGATTCGGACCAGGGCTTTCCACAAAGACTCTTCCACGCTGTGCCTGTGCCGAAACAGCTCCCGAAACGAATGCCTGACACTCCGATCCACAAAGAGAATACATCAACATAATCGAAGTGCTGTGCTGACGAAGCCCTTTCCAAATCCGCCGGCCCCCTTGTGGGGCCACCAGGCTGTAGGCGCGGGTTCGCAGTTTCCAGTACCAGTTGTAGCTTGTAGTTTCCAGTGTTACAGTTCTGCTTCTTGCTGGTTACTGTAACTAGTTGACTTCTTGCTGGTTACTGTAACTAGTTGATTGACCGCGCGAGGGAGGGGGAGGCCCAAACAAGACTTTTAGCGTCTCCTGGGCGCGTTGTCTGAATTGCTGGGGGGGCTCGAAATCGACACCCCTCACGCAGATCCGCGGGGTCAGGGTCCAAAAACACAGGGGATTTGCCACATTTCTGAAATTCGGTGCCACCCCTCACGCAGATCCGCGGGGTCAGGGTCCAAAAACACAGGGGATTTGCCACATTTCTGAAATTCGGTACCACCCTTCACGCACATCCATCGCAAGGCGTGGTAACCCAAACTGCGAGAACTCCCTCAGCCCTTTAATCGCAAGGTGTGGTAACCAAGCCCGTAAACCATACACGTCTTACCAATCGCCAGTTGTGGTAACCACTCTTGTGATCAGTTGGTTTTGCTGATTGCGAATCGGCTTCGCATGAAGTTTCGATACTGCTTCACGACAGCGCCAAGGCCTCATGACTTAGCTCTTCCATGGCCCATTCTCCGAGAGAGGGGGCCGGCGGCAGGGGGCGAAGCCCTTACGGATTAAAAGCCGAACCAGCTGTCTTGTCTTCTCAGCCCGTTGTGTGAATAGAGGTGCGTGTGTAGGTGTGAGTGTGTGTGTGTGTGCGTGTGTGCGCGTGATGCGCGTGCGCGGGCGTGTGCGTGGGTGTGTATCCTGGCCACCGCCTGCGCGCGGTCTCTCAAGGACTATCTGCGAGGAGGCTGCCTGGGGCGACCCTAAGGTGCCGATACCGCTGCTCCCCGGACCTCTCAAGGGGTGCGCTCCGACCAGAATCTCGAGGCGAACCTCCCAGGAGACCGAAGCAGGGGGAATACGGAGAACTGTTAGCGGTATGGGTACCTTTGTGAGCGTTTTCTTACTCGGCGTTTCGACACTGGGCGGAAAGGGGGTGGGGAGGGGGGGGTCTGGCCCCGGACCACTGATCAATGCGACTGTGTGCAACAGTGCGTCACATGGGGAGACGTCACCTGCTCGACAAGGGCGCCAAGAACAACCAAGATCTGCTCCATGGGGGGGGGCGGGAGGGGTCGCGAAGGCCCGCGCCGATCGGCAAAACAACGAAGCAGAACACGATCGCTTCTCCTCCTCGGACTGCCTGTCTTGGCTGCGTCTCGCCCTGACTTTCCATCCGCCGACTGGCCTCAGGTCGGGCATGTCCTCCTACAGGCGGATTGTGGAAGACAATTAGAAATCCGCCCGCCCCCTTGTGGGGCCACCAGGCTGCAGGCCGGGGGTTCGCAGTTTCCTGTACCAGTTGCAGCTTCCAGTTTCCACTGTTATAGTTCTGCTTCTTGCTGCTTACTGTTCCTTGTTGACTTCTTGCTGCTTTCTGTTCCTTGTAAATGGACCGCGCGAGGGAGGAGGCCCAAATCGGTCATTTAAACCAAGCAGGAATCGTATTGTCTGGATTGCTGGGGTGGGTAAAAATTTGCACCCCTCACGCGGGTCGGCAGGGGTCAGGGTCCAAAAACACATGGGATTTGCCACATTTCTAACATTCGGTGGCACCCCTCACGCAGATCGGCGGGGTCAGGGTCCAACAACACATAGGATTTGCCACATCTGTAAAACAATAAATCGGTGGCACCCCTCACGCAACGCAGATCGGCGGGGTCAGGGTCCAAAAACACATGGGATTTGCCACATGTCTGACATTCGGTGGCACCCCTCAAGCAGATCGGCGGGGTCAGGGTCCAAAAACACATGGGATTTGCCACATGTCTGAAACTCGGTGGCACCCCTCACGCAGATCGGCGGGGTCAGGGTCCAAAAACACGTGAGATTTGCCACATGTGTAGAACAATCGGTGGCACCACTCACGCAGATCGACGGGGTCAGGGTCCAAAAACACATGGGGTTTGTCACATTTGTAAAAAAAGTCGGCGGCACCCCTCACGCAGATCGGCGGGGTCAGGGTCCAAAAACAAGTGGGATTTTCCACATTCTAAACAAACAACAAATCGGTGGCACCCCTCACGCAACGCAGATCGGCGGGGTCAGGGTCCAAAAACACATGGGATTTGCCACATTCTAAAAAACTCGGTGGCACCCCTCACGCAGATCGGCGGGGTCAGGGTCCAAAAACACATGGGATTTGCAACATTTCAAAAAAAAAAAACAGAATCGGTAGCACCCCTCACGCAGATCGGTGGGGTCATGATCCAAAAACACATGGGATTTGTCACATGTCTGACATTCGGTGGCACCCCTCACGCAGATCGGCGGGGTCATGATCCAAAAACACATGGGAGTTGCCACATTTCTGAAACTCGGTGGCACCCCTCACGCAGATCGGCGGGGTCAGGGTCCAAAAAACTCATGGCATTTGATACGTTTGTAAAACAAATCGGTGGCACCCCTCACGCAGATCGGCGTGGTCAGGGTCCAAAAACAAATGGAATTTGCCACGTTTGTAAAACAAATCGGTGGCACCCCTCACGCAGATCGGCGGAGTCGGGGTCCAAAAACACATGGGATTTGCCATATTCAAAAACAAATCGGTGGCACCCCTCACGCAGATCGACAGGGTCACGACGTCTTACCAATCGCCAGGTGTGGTAACCATACTGGTCATCTATTGGTTTTGCTCATTACGAGTCGGCCTCGCATGAAGTTCCAATACTTCTTCAGGACAGCGCCCAGGCCTCATGACATAGCTCTTGCATAGCGCATTCTCCGAGAGAGGGGGCCGGCGGCAGGGGGCGAAGCCCTTACGAATAGTCAAACAAACAAAAATAGTCAAACCAATAATTTAAAGAAATCGTCCCCAGACTATGTCTTTACGATCCTCAAGCATTCCTCCTGTGGAGGGACACGCCCGACTTGAGGCTGGCTCGTCGGCGCGCTGGAGGAACAACAGGCGCGTGCGCACCACGCCCGCGGGGCGAGGCCGCGGCCCTCGCCTGCCGCGCTTCTGTCGGTGCACCGTGAGGGCCTCCCGCGCGCCGCTCCCCCTCCGTCGGCGGCCGTCTCTCTCCTTCGGGCCCCTTCGGAAGGGGCCCAGAGGGACACAGACGAAGAGGCACAGACCCCAGGATGCCCCATAGGTTCCAATATGTCCTGGAGGTGTGTCTTCCCCGCCACGTCCTATATATACACATTCATATATGTATATATATATATATATATACAGATTCCCGTCTTTCCAAGGGGGAGCGGAGTTCCTTTGCGTCTGCGAGTTTCTGTCTCTTTTGCTCCCGGATATCGCTTCTGTGTTGTGAGGGCGGGTGGGAATGAGCTAGACGGCTTGCGGGCGGGTGGGTAGCTTGGTCACTGTTCCCTATTACCTCCCCCATCCGGCCGGCGTCCAACCCTGAACCATGCCGACTCCACGCGGGCCCGCCCCCCACCATCCCTGCCAACAAAACCATACAAAACGCACTATGCCTCCACATTTGGAGCATGCGCGGCCGCCCAGCGACCCTTTTGTAGTGGTATTCTACAAGGACGGCTGGGGTGCCAGCAGACCCCACCTGCCTTCTGGGCGCAGGTGGTCGACCGACTTGCTTGACACATTTAGTGGCTGCTGCCTTTTCGCCTTATCGTTTCCGATGGGCCCTTCGAAACCTGCAAATGGCTGCGAAATTGTCAAAGAAAACTCCAAAGTCGGGCTCAAGAGGCCTCTACGCCGGCGCAAGAACGCCCCAAGTTGGCGCCAAAAGGGCGCCAAGAGGCGGTTTTTGAAGGCCCCAGAGGGGGAGGCCTCCTGGTGGATGGCCCAAGAGAACTCCAAGCCGCGCCCACGAGGCCCCCGAGACGGCCCCAAGAGCGCCCCAAGGTGGCCCAAAGATGGTCTCAAGAGATTGTTGTGAAGGCCCCCGAAAGGGGGGCTAGCCCCAAATAGGGGGGCCTTATCGTTTCCGACAAACAGTTGCGGCGTACGGAGGTGGAGCTCCTATTGGTGCCCAGTGGCTGGTGCACCTGGCGCGGCTGGAGCACGTTGGGCGCACGTGGAGCACGTGCCGCACCTGGTGCGCCTGGCACGCTTGGGCCTCCAGGGTCTGGTGCATATGGAACCCGTGGCGTCTGCGGCGTACTCCCTGGTGTCACGTATGTGTCGGGAGGGCGGGTGGGAGTGAGCTAGACGGCTTACGGGCGGGTAGGTAGCTTGATCCCTCCCCCTACCCCCTCCCCTGGGCCTGGGAGGGGGGGGGGACGGAGCCGTCAGAGCGCCCAAAATGGCCCCAGATGGCTCCAAGAGGGCCCGAGACAGCCCATGAGGGCCTCCAAGATGGCCCAAGATACTTCAACGTCGCTGAAGGTAGCTTCCGACAAGCCTCCAAGACGCCCCAAGAGGGTTCCAAGTGCCACTCCCGCCTCCCAAGGCACCTCCCACGAGGCCAAATCCTTCGAGATTTGACAGCGTCCACGACATGGCGCCTGCGCTGAGAAAAGTGTCCGTGCGCATGCGTGCGTGTTTGGTTCGAGCAGTCGGGCATGATCGATTCGAGCTTCGAGCATCACATCCTCATGCCCCTTGGCAGGAATGGCAAGCACCGGAAGCGGACCTGCATAAGCAGAGTGCTCCGCCGAAAAGACCAGGAACTGACGGCCACCCCTTAGACTGCATGCAGCATCACCTCGTGACGAGACAGCTGAGCTGGCCTTGACAGGCGGGTCAGCCGACTTTGCGCCTCGCGCCGCGCGAAGCTACCATCACGGTTGTCCCTCGCGCTCTCGCGCGACCCCCGGAGAACGAGAACCCTCCGGCCCAGACCGCGAAGTGTCAGGTCGGGCGTGTCGCCCTACAGGCGCAATTGGGGCGAAGAAATCAACCTATTCAAAGTATTACAAATATGACCAAACAGATGTTTTAAAAAGCTCCCCATATTATTTTTTTACTCTTTTGAATAATCCTCCTGTAGAGGGACAGGCCCGACTTCAGCGAAGTGCAACATGCGCTGATCGCCGCACCCGATGAGGGCGCGATCGAGCCTCCGCCCCCATTTGTCTGGGGTCTGGGGGAACACTCCTCCCGACCATTCCCTCGTCCTCCCACCTCCTCCTCCTCCTCTCCTCCTCCTCCTCCTACTCCTCCTCCTCCTCCTCTTCCTCGTCCTGCCTCTCCTCCTCCTCCTCCTCCTCCTCCTCCTCCTCCTCCTCCTCCTCCTCCTCCTGCTCCTCCCTCTCCTCGGTCCTCGAGGTCTGAGGATCGAAGCGCTTCTGTTCTAAGCAGTGCTTGCGCTTCTAGGCTCTCGCTCTCGTCCTGTGGGCGGCCGTGGGTGCCCCCGATCCTCATCCCCCCGTCCTCTCTCCGCCTCCGTCTTCCTTCCCCGTGTCCGTCGTTTGGGCCAACTCCCGAGTTCCTACGGAGGCTCCTGCTGCGCCGCCCCCTTTCCTCCTCCTGCTCTTCCTCCTGCTCTTCCTCCTCCTCCTCCTCCTCCTCCTCCTCCCCGTCCTCCTTCCCTGACTCCTCCTCAGGGCGAGGATGATGTCATGGTAAGACTGGCTCAGGATGCGTTGCAGGATCTCCAGGGTGCCTAGCGGCGCAGCCTGTGCGGAACATGGGCAACCCATGGAACTTTGGAAACCCTGGAACGAATCATGATCATGACTCCTCCCTCTTCCCCCCTGGCCTCCTCTCCCGACGACGGCGACTGCGCTGACGGCAACGGCCGCGGTCGCGGCGGCGGCGCCGACGTCGTCGCGGGGGCGCCTGCGCCAAGCCGTCCAGGGGAGGCACCGGGCGGGCGGCCGACGTGCGCGGCGGGCTGTCCAGCGCGGCGAAGAAGAGGCTGTCGGGCGGGCGGGCGGGGGAGCGGCAGGAGTCAGCTTCCGGGAGGTCTGCGCAAGAACGGCTCAGGGCTATAGCTAAATCAGGAGGGCATGAAAGGGGCATGGTATAAAGGGGTGTGGTGATAATTGTATGTCAAGGGGACTCTGGCGATGTCATCTATCGCAGATGACATCGCCACTTCCACGATTGGCACCATACCCCTTGATGCCACACCCCTTTCCGACCTCCAGACTAAAAGCCACCACTTCGCCGAATCAGGCCAGCGGAAGCTTGGGATTCACCTGGATGAAACGGCATTCAGCGAAAGCTAAAAGCGGGATTATGCCGGACTCGGCCCGTTTTCGACCACGGATTTACCAGCCCCGATGTTGAACCTAACCTCCCGAGAGTTGCATCCTAAGGAAGGGGAGGGAGGAGGAGGAGGTGGCTTTCGGGTGCGAGAGAGATCTTTCTAGAAAACGATGCAGCGCTGAACTCCAAAAGCCGGGGCTCGAGGGTCAATATAGAATGATGACAAAGGCCATTGCTTCACGAGAATGACTTTGGCAATGGCCACTTAGAGGACAATCTGGTTACCACGTATGCTGCCACCTTTCAGCCCAGAAACTGAGTTGCTTCGTCGGTCCCGCCGTGATCGAATCCAATGCGGGGCTCGAGCCTTCCGTGATCAACGAGAACTCCGAAAGCCTTGCTATGGGGCCGCATCACGTCCCTGCCTGTATCATGCAGGGCGTCCATGGTTCAACTGTATAAATTATCTGGGTGGGGAGGAGAGGGTCTTCCGTGATCAACGAGAACTTCGAAAGCCTCGCTATGGGGCGGCATCAGGTCCCCGCCCGTATCACGCACGGCATCCATGGCTCAACTGAGTACGTTGTCTGGGCGGAGAGGAGAGGGTGGACTCCAAAATGCCACTCTGCCCAAATTTCTCGCCATACATCCACTTCCTCCACAGGACCGCTGCACGCCAATTGCGGCAACAGGATGGGCGAGATGGCCCATGCCGCCGCAAGCTCGCGCCGACCGGACGCAGCGCCCGAAGGGCCATTCCAGGTTTCGCTCCAGGCCTCCCCCGTCGCACTCAGAAAGCGCCGGGGAGCGCGACCACCGACATCGTTTGCACGCGCATCCTTCCGAACTGCTCGGTTACTCCAACTCTGAGGGGCGGCCGAGCAAGTTCTACGACGCAGCGCGAACTCCTACGATCTTCAATCGCTGAACGCGCAGGCCCCTGTCGGGCGCCAGTCGCGTGCTCGTTCCGGCGGCGGTCCAAGCTCGCGAGCAAAAAACGGGGCAGACGCTGCGCACTGCACGGGGGGCGCGAGGGAGAAGCCCGCGCGATCGCTCCCAGATCACGCGGGGGGCACACGAAGCCACGGAGGCACTTCGCTGAACATGAATACCTACCAGACCCCCCCAACCCGACCCAGCCCTCAGACCCGAATTTCGGGCTGGGGGGGGTACGAGTTCTATATGCGTGTTGCTTCAATGTTCCCCGACGCCTCCCCACTGGGAATGGAAGGAAAAGTGAGGCCTTCGGGTTGGGTTGGGGTAGGGGCCCCACGAAGCCCCCAAGGGGCCACAGGAGGACACCACTGGACCCCTCAGAGGCCCTCAAGAAGTCCCCAGGAGTCTCCAGGATGCGGGCAAGCTAGGTGCGCTCGCGCTAGATATGACGTCCTACCCCCCCCCCATCATTTACCATGGCGTACAGATCCTCTCAAATCGCACAGTCGGACATCGAGCAGGGCCATGACCGCGAGAGAGTACGCGATGCATGGTAGAGCACGGCATGGCATGGCGTAGAAGAGCACGGCAGAGCGTAGCATGCCATAACATGGCGTGGCATTGTGCAGTGAAGCGTTTCACCACAAAACAATGCAACGCAAAACATGGCATCGCACAGCGGCGCAGAAAACAACACCGCACAACATGTCATAGCATGGCGCCGGGTTCTTGGAGGGGATAGATCGTATTCGAAAGGTCTGGGCCAGTCTGGAGTCGCGGCTCCATGTCTGATTAGCCTCCTTGGGCTCCCCGAAGAGCTCCACTCAAGGCGGGGCTGATGGAGAGCATCCGCTGGCTCTGCTTTCAACATCGCCTTCTGAAAGCAGACACGGGGCTCACGCTTGATAATTCCTGAAAACGACGACGCCCCAAAGTGGGGGGGGGCTTCTGCGGCCCAAAAAATCAACGAATCGGCACCGAATGTGGAATCACTTCCGATGCTTTCTCCGGGGGGTATTTTCTAGAGATTTGGGGCCTTTTTGGAATGACAGAAAACGCCCGCGCTGTAGCGGGAGTACGATTTGCAACAACCAGAGGCGCAGACGTGGGGCCAGCGCTTCAGCGGGACCCAATCGAAGACCCATTTCCGGGGAGTCCTGTGTAAGAAACAATACGCGGAAGGGGGCCGGATATCTCCCGGACGTCATTAGGGGAGAGAGGGAAGTAGTATTCATATTGTGCAGTTGTAGAGGAAAGGATCGTCCGATCATCCACCCTCGTGGGACCCCGAGGAGCCCGATCCTCCTCCTCCTCCTCCTCCTCCTCCTCCTCCTGGCTCCCGGTGCTCTTCTTCTCCCCCATTCGAACCAAGAACATGACAAGGAAAAGGAAGCCGAATACTAATACCTAATACTATCTACGGTGTGGGCAGGTGGATCAGGAACCCTTAGATAAGGAATCCAGGCTCTGCAAGTCAGTGGAACTCCAAGCGTGGATCGGCCATGGATATCACCGCCGCCCTCATTGGATAGAGAATCCTCCAGGGCCTGGCGCCTACTGGGACTATTCCTTAACAACCGCCGCCACCGTACAACCATCGTGCTGCCACAGGGAGCGCCGGGCAAGGAGCGGGGGGCTGTTCTGGCCACGGCGAGCTCTGGCCTCGAACAGCCCCCCCGACCCGCATCGAAGGGACGGCGCGACGATCCGAGCCCATCGCGCGCGGGACAGCAGGCGACCACAGCGAGGTCGAGGGCACACCCTTCGAGAAGGGAATCGACTGCAGCATCGATTTACCCCAAAGTTGGTTCGACCAGGAAATCAGGTTTGGGGTGAATCAATTCTGTATTCGATCCCCTTCTCGAGCCCTGGGGGGGTTTCTTGGGCATGCAAGAATTTGTCGGAACACAGAAACCAGCTGCGTACAGGGTGGTCGATGTGGCGTCACAGGGCGGCCAAATCGGCTACGACCACGCCCAGAGTGCTCGTTTCGAGGTCGGTGGGCTCTCCCCTGAGGGGACCTCCCGAGATATCCACATGGCTGTGGCTTGTGGTTCTTTGTTGTGCCCGGATCCTGAGCCCACAATGGTCCTCATTTCAGCGTCTTGGATGTAAGAGGATGAGTGCCGCCGTCCATGTTGGTCGCGTCACAGATGCTCTGTAATGACTGGAGCGGCGGTCGCGGCCCACACAGGGTCGCACAGCCCAGTTGGGTCACGGGGCCAACACGGGTCACACCAGCCCCGCCGGGTTCCCGAGGGCTCACTCCGAGGGCCCCCGAGAGGGGTCACACACAATGCCTGCCGTCACGGGTATGTGACTGCCGCATATTTGCAACGCAACGACATCGACGCGGCCAAGCGGAACATGAAGCCGAGGAGGAGGAGGAGGAGGACGGAGAGGAGGAGGAGAAGGAGGAGGAGGAGGAGGAGAAGGGGGAGGGGGAGGAGGAGGAGGAGGAGGAGGAGGAGGAGGAGGAGGAGGAGGAGGGAGGAGGTAGGAGGTAGGAGGAGCAGGAGGAGGAGGAGGAGGAGGAGGAGGAGGAGGAAGAGGAGGGAGGAATCATTCATCCCGCGCGTCCTGTACGGCGCCTGGCATCCGCCGGCGGTCGCGGCCGCGCTTCTGCCCGCCTGCGGCGCCCGCTTCGC